GCTAACTGAACTGAACAGTTACTTGCTTAAACTGAATTTCACAAATACTATAGCAGAGTAATTAGGCATGTTCCACAAATATCCAAAACGGAAGTGGTCACCATAAAAATATAAACAATAGCTTTATTAGGAGCAGAAAATTTCAAATACTGCATTTTATCTCCCGGTTCTCATGCAATATTAGGCTTCTAAGCTTCCTTATCATCATAGCTTCTGTCTGATTTTTGGCCATAGGCACACTTAATGAGGCACTTTAAGAACATACCGAATTTTAAAAAGGACATGGCAAATAGATGGCATTTATGTTTTATCATGTTCTTACTAAATAAGGAGGAAAATCGAATTTATCCTTTATACACTGATTAATGAAGAGCACTGTGCCGATTACTGAAGAGTACTTCATGAAGACAGAAAATAATTTCAATATAATTCAGAAATGTAAAAAATTGTGGGCCTGGAATGAAGCACAAAACTCATCACATGCATTCTCTGAATAAAGAAAAGATGAAGTTTTACATCCAGAACACCATTTTTGAGTCACAGCTTGTTTGGTGTCCGGTATAATCTAGCAGTTACCTCGACTGTCACTTCTGAGACTGTGTTGCTTTCAGGTAATTACAGGCAAATGTGAGAAGGTGTTTGAAAAGTAAACATTTACCTGAAGTTCAATAAGGGCAAGGTTAAAGATGGCTCTGCCGAATTAAATTGTATTCTGAAAAAGTTTGTGACTTACTATTGCACATCTATCTAGCAATTAAAACCTGTTTCTATCTCATGCGTGTCTGCAACAAAAATAAGGAGCAACATCAGAACCAGAATTTGCCTGGATTGCACCCAGAACATTGTTTGCCTTTGAAAGTGAATCCCTGATAAATTTTCAAGAGTAGCTATGCAAGTTGTTCATATCTCTCATATTTATTACACTTAAAAAGTGCCATCCTAGCTCAATTTTGAAAATCTCATGTGAAATAGTGTCGGAAGTCATCCAAGAGTCAAGATGACTTCTGACAACTAATGTTTTTCTCCTACTAAGCTTCGTTATCTTGTCAAAAAAAACCACAACGCGATGACATGATTTGTTCTGAACAGCAATGCTGGCTGGTATTTACCTCGTTGTTATCATCTAAATGCTTAATGATTTTTGATTATTTCTTCAAGTTTTCAGTTTATATTGTCTGTTTCAAAATTTCATGTTGCTTCTTTTTAAAAGTGGTACCGTATTTTAGCTCTCCTTCACAAATCCTTACAGGAAATATCTGAAACTGTTTCACTTGGCCTTCTACCTAAGATGAAATTCATAGAGCTCAGCTACTTTGGAATCATTTAAATATAGGTTTATCTCTGCTCTCTCTAGGCTTATCCATGTTCTTAAGCCGTTATTACTAACGCTAACGGTGTTAACACAACTCAGCATCCTAGTGAACACTAACACAAAGATGACATTAAGCAACTTCGGATTCTGATTCTTCAGAACAGTTCATTGATAATTTTCCCTCCTGACTGAGTGGAAGACTAATTCCTTGGTCATCATAGGGCTAACGCTTCTTTGGAAATTCTTATTACTCAGTATTCAGATTTTGTTTGTCCAAACTTGTACACATTTAATAGAAAACATATTTCTCCATCTTCTACATGTTTCCTTTCTGAGTAGGTTCACATGAACCTTGAGTTCTCCTAATGTGTTGTTCTCAACACATTAACCCATACCCCACAGAACGAGATGTGACAGGTACATTTGCAGCTAGCTTGCCTATTTTTATACTACAGTCCACAGCATCCGTATTATAATTCAACATAAAGGCATCAGAATCAAGGATATTTTTACAATTTTCTTTCTGTAAGATACTTTCATTTCTGTCTTTTTTAGTTCACTGATGCCAACTACTATATTCTGAAGGTCAATCTTTGAGTTCTCTGCACTGACATTCGTACACTAAGGAAAATATATAAATATTTATCTTTAAATTTCTTTTTTCCCTTCCGTAATGTACTATTGCTACCATTTTGATTCAGCTGCTGAAGATAAACTAGCAACTATAATATTAGTATGAATAAAGTTAATGGAGTACTTTTTTTTTCTTCCAGTATTTTTCAGTCTCTGAAGACCTTTGTCTTTGAAATAATTAATTATGTTAGTGGTATTTCTGCTATAGTTAAAAGTCACTCCACAAAACACGCAAAAAAAGTACCCAGGACTGAAGGAAATTATTAGACTTTAAGTCCCTGTAAATATTTGCAGCTTATAAATGATTGTTCTGCCCACGAATATATACATATTATGGGAAATTATTTATTTCAAGAAACCAGTACTGTGCATTTGCAATAGGGATGGTTGAGCATTATGCTAGTTGCTTTCTGAAAACATCAAGGAGACGTGCAATGTAATACATACTTAAACACAATACTTAGTGTGGATATAATGAATCTGAAAAAAGATATTTTTGAAAAAATAATTTTCTGAAACATGTTAAAGAACATTTGAGAGGTAAGCAGCAAAACATCAATGTTATAGAGTATGAATTTGGCATCAAGTAGCTGATGCAAAACTAACGAGCATATAATCCAATTTTGCAGCTTCTTCATTTTCAATGAAGCATTGAGGGAAAACAAACAAAAAAAGTGTAGTCATTAAACTCACTGAGACAAATTAATTTTTGTAAGCTGTAAACTACAAAGGAATAGACATCATAGGTGAACTTGATTTGCCCCTTTTTCTTAAAAAAAGAAAAAGGAAATGCATTTGAACTTGTAACAAAGAGCTTCAAAAGAAAGCTAGAGAGTTTATAGCACTGATTTGGAATATCTTACTGCGTTTGCAATTAGCAGCATAACCTGAGATTGCCCAGACAGAAACACACGTGCACGTGCCGTGCACACGCGCAGTGCGTCTGAGGACTTCAGACGTACCAGGTCTGCCGTTTCTCAGGTGACACATAGCTACATCTCAGGGCTGGCAGGACTCAGTTATACCAGAAATAATGCATCTCTGCAGACCATAAACGATCTTACATACCCAGTGAGTCTGGCAGGGCCAGGTCTGAACAAATACGTTTGACTCTGGTGCATCCAAAGGCATTGAAAACTCCATAGCACCACCTACTACAGTTAACTGTAACAAACCACAGTTTACGTGCAGTCTTACAAATGAAAACTTGTGGATACCAAACAGAAAAAAATGGAAGAAGGCATAGTAAGACCATGATCATAAGACCCTGATAATTTTGAACATTTCTGTAACGCCATTTGAACAAAAATTGTATGAACAACATGATCAGCGTTGATAACGCTACCCTCATCACACTGCCTTTTTCCCTTGCAGGCTATTAGCGACCAGCAGCTCACTGCTTGGAATGAACACCAATGGCTCCGATGAGTATTTCCAGTCTACAAACCACGCGGAGCAAACGTTCCGCAAAATGGAAAATTATCTGCAGCAGAAGCAGCTGTGCGATGTTCTTCTCATAGTTGGAGACCAAAAGATCCCAGCTCACAGGTACGTTTCCCACTATTGTTTACACGGCTTGAAAGCCTCAAATTTCCAAATGCTAGGTCGATTTATCCCTACCCTGTTGAGTTATGAAGGAACAGTTACTAGAATTAGGACATCAACTAAAAATGGAACAAAACTATGTAAACAACCTTTCATATTCATTACTTCAAATAGATTGAAATTCAAATATCAACCATTGATATTGTCCGTCTTCCCTTCTTGCTGCTGTCAAACTATAGCGAGATCATTGAAGAAAATTTGCCCAAACAAGCACTATGGGAGAAAATTAGATTACTAATTACCCTTTCCATTTTATTGCTCACTGCTATAAGATTTGAATTCTATACCAAACATAATGTTTCTACTGCACACACAATTTTTTTTTATGTAATAATACTTAATTTCATGCTTGCTATTGAGATTATGAAGTAATTTGAGTCCTCCTAAAATGCTTTTATTTCAAGGTTGGTTCTCAGTGCAGTGTCTGATTATTTTGCTGCCATGTTTACTAATGATGTGCGTGAAGCAAAACAAGAGGAGATCAAGATGGAGGGAGTAGACCCTGATGCGCTGAAAGCTTTAGTGCGCTACGCCTACACAGGTAATGCCTCCTTCATCACCCACAGCATTGTTGTAAAGGAACATAAAAATCTATTCAGAGCATAAGCAATGGTCACTTCTTCCATTTCATACTAGTACATCAACACATGCATAGATCATGCATATGTGATGTAAAGCTTTCTCTAGAAAGCATGAATAAATATAACTGGCTTATATAATAACTTATTCTAGAAGATATGCAGAAAAGTTCATATAAATTCATATTGGACAACTTTCTCTAACTAGACACAAATTATTTTAGGAATTTTAGTGAGAGAAGAACATATTTTGCCTGTTGCCTACCTCATGTAGTGACACAGAAGAGTGTACTATGAACCTTCCTGTCACGGGTAGCTAGAGACATGGTCTGTCTAGGTGGCAGTTTTTGGCTCACTCAAGGCTCTTGAGCAGGAATAATCAGGGGAAAACAGGAATATGATCACACCCTCGAGAAAGTGCCACCACATTCTGAAAAAGGTTTACTTATATTCTCTTGAAAAATTATAGAAAGTTTATCTTATTGAAATTAAATATATTATTTTAGCATGAGAATACTGTATACAATTTTTTTCCCTAATTTATTTTCTCTCATTTTCAACACTTACTCCTGTATTGCTGAATCCAAAAGGAGTGAAGCAAATAACCAAGACAACCAAGTCAGAGAACTCTGAAATCCCTTTCATCTACTCTAGAGTTAACAGGGAAAAATGCTGTAGATCATGACCACCAAGTTAGTATATATTACGATTACAAACATCCAGATCATTCTAATGCAGATTCTGGAAGTCTGGACATTCTGGTGTGTGGCAAGCCTGTCAATGCAGATGGCAGCTACTCCAGCCAGAAAGGGAAAAGGGAAATCATTTTCCCCCTGTCCAGTTGTGCAATTCTGTGGCCAAAAAAAAAAAACAAAAAAAAAGCCCAAATCTCAAAAGGAGAAAATTACTTCCCCAGAAAGTAGCAACACTTAAATGACCAGAATAACAACTTTCTGAATTTATGAACATTTGCTCATAAATTGCTCTGTCCCCTGAGTTAACAGTTATTATCAATAACATTCACTAAATCCTCATCATTTGATGTCCTACACAGGACATTGCTTGTTTGCTTTTGAATTAAATAACTCAATTTTGATACTGAGACAGGGAAGTTGGAAGATGTATCACAGGTATCTAGTGATATTTTTATAGTACTTTAAAAAGGCTTAGAATATTTTTTTTTAAAAAAATCAAAGTAAAACAAACATCCCATTGTATTCACCATATTTGCATTAGCATAAATGTTCAAAATAGACTTCTTCACTTGCTAGGTCAGGCACTTTGTAAATCTGGACTGTTGCATAGTGAGAAATCTGGAGAAGGTTTAGCAATCTGCAACCCAGATCAGAAACCTGTTCTATACACAAAATCGACCCCATTTGTTGGTACAAACAAGGGGATAAATAGAGAGGGCCAGAGGGAATGCTGCATAACATGTCTAAAGCAGTGATGTGGTGGCACTGAATCACCACGCTCTACCCAAGGAAACAGATTAGTGTAAGCACAAAGAATGTGAGTAGGGGGTTGCTTATTATCTACGTTTATCTCAAAACCATTCCACTTGATTAAATTTCATCTCTTTCAGTTTACTTAATGCAAAACCGTATGAAAGGACATATATAAGACCACAAAACCACATGCCAGACTATGAAATAGTGTAAGTTTGTTTGTGAAATCAGGATTCCTGCTTTGCTTTGAGGCATTATATTGAGATATTTATTTACAAGAACACGTACTGAATTTGCTATATACTATCATTCAGTAACTATTCTGAGTTGTACAGTAAAACCCAAATCCAAACATTGCCCTATTCTGCACCCTGCCAGCCCTTCCTCATTTCTTGCAGAAGTTGGAAGGCATTATTTAAGTTACAAAGCAAGAGAAATGAGGATGAGATGGGATTGTGCTAAGTTAAGACTGCTGAAGACTGCTATGGAAAAGATGAATTTTCCTACTGCCTTTGTCATAGATTCTCATGTGATAATAGCTAAAACTCTAAACTGTGTGCTACTTTTTGCCTAGGTGATGAAATATAAATGTGACTTTCAGAGATGAGAACTATACATTTCAGAATTGTTTATATATTCTACTGAAATAAATCAAAAGTGAATTTTGGACAAGAAACCTCTTGCAGTTCTACTTGGATGGTAATTTTGACAGTAATCTCTCAATACCACCCTTCTCCATCTGTTAAACAGAGATGACGTGTATCACCCCTTCACAGAAGAAGCTGGGAAAAAAAATACTGTTTCTAAGGCAATTGGATGTAGTAATGATAAATGGAAAACAGAGTCATAAAAAAACCCCACAGTTATTTTTTCAGAATAGAATTTTAGCATGGTGTATCAACTAAGGAATTGAGCCATCCACTGAGTAATAAGAATGAAAGATCTTATTAAAATAACACCTTCCAGTCTATCTAGGAATGTAAAAAAATTCTCACGTCATGCAATCATTTCATTAAAAATTTAAGTGCACAAGAAGATGATGGAAGAAATCAGGTCTCCTGCACACACTGCTGGCATTTCCTAGCTCTTTATATTGTGTGTGATATAAACTTATGATATATATTTTCAAGAATTCACATGCGAATTTTTGGAACAGTATTTCTCTAATCACACCTTTCTTTTTGTTCTACTTTTTTTTTTCTCCAGGCAAAATCAGATCTAATACTGTTAAATTTGCAAATAAAAATGTTCCAATCATTATATTCAAAACCCACCAAATCCTTTAAGTCTGTTAAAACATCTGTTTAAAAAAATCCTTCGGCAAGAAAGGAAAACGAATTTGTGAATCACAGGACACTTTTTTTCAAAATTTTTCAGAGGAGTAGAAAAACTGGGGGGTGGGAAGTTTTCAAGTAAATAAAAATACACAGAAAATGAATGAAACTTTTTCTCCCCCCCTACACGCGCAGGTATTCTAGAGTTAAAGGAAGACACTATAGAAAGTTTGCTAGCTGCAGCTTGTCTTCTCCAGCTATCCCAAGTCATTGAGGTATGCTGCAACTTCCTCATGAAGCAGCTCCATCCTTCCAACTGCCTGGGGATTCGTTCTTTTGGAGATGCCCAGGGCTGCACGGAGCTCCTGAAGGTGGCACACACGTACACTATGGTAAGAGGAACAATCTAACTGCTTTGCAATTATAATTTTGAATGCTCTGCAGGAAAACATATGGGCCTTGGTGAAGCAGAGCCAGCTGGGCAGGGCTCAGGGCTGCTGCTGTCGAGACTGATGCAGTGGTTCTGCTCTTTGTCTGGCAAGACCAGTTCTGTGAAGTCCCTGAGGCCGGGGCATCTCTGCCCAGCTCAGTCTCCAAAGGGCGATTTAAAAACAGTAACAGGAGCATTGAAAGGCGAGAAAAGCATGCTTAGAAAAACAAATATTCAGTTCAGTTGTTTCCCATTTCAGAGTTTAGCCTTGCAGAAGGACTTATTTATTGAACTGAAATTTGCAGTATGAATTGTAAGCATCTCTTCCAAAAAATGCGATACAGCCTTCACATGGCTAATGTCAAGAGGCAAACGGCAATGGCCCGTCTTATGCCTTTGATTCGACACAAAGAAAACGCTCAAGCTGATTTTAAGGTGAGACACACTTAAAAAGAGCCAAAAAAAAGAGAATGTACGGGAAAGATTTGGAATGCTAAAATGAAGCGCACCCCTGACTGGTGCATAATCCTCCTCTGGCTCCAGGCAAGAAATGAATATTCAGAGCGTGGGAAACAGAGAAGCAAGATAGCTGGCTGTGAAACCAAATCAAGGGATAAATATTCAGAGCAACAAGATGTGCTATAGCAACTTTAAACACAAAAAGAATAGCAACTGCTACAGCTAAATAGATATAAAAAGAACTACTTGTTAGGAGACACATGGCAGCTTTATGCTTGGAATATTAGCGTAGTATGTCAAATCCAGTTTAGAGGCTTCATAACTGCTGCGAGCATTCCAGCAAGAGATTGTACACTTGCACACGGTGAAATAAATGAGAGCAGCATGTGCAGATTGAGGGCACTGGTTGTGCTTCTTCCTGTCATGCTAATGAAAAGTTTGTTTAGCAGCAATCTAGATTCCTTTTATATTTTAAATTTTTAAAAAGGGCATTTAAGATAGAGCTTCACTCGGCCTCTACATAACAATGGTGTCCTTGCTGCTCTGCACCATTTTATTTTTTTGGGTTAGATTTTTTTTTAACCATTTGAATCCCCTAGTCTTTTCCAAGAGTTAGACTTCTACAGGTTTTTTTTAAATGAAATGACAGTTGGGTCTTTAAGAACCCTGTCGAACGTGAAGGCTCATAGTGAATCTATGAGACTCGGTAATGTACACTATGTCTTACACTACGCCTTCCTGAAAACAGCCACGAGCATTTGCACCTCTAGAACCACCTCCTGTGTCTTGTGTGCAACACGAATTGAGAATGCTGTCATGAAAGAGGACCTTGCATGTCATAAAACCACAGAAGAGGAAATCTGCACCTCTTGGAAATAAACTTCAATAAAATTTTCTTTTAAACCCTTGAACTGATTTAAAAAAAAAAAAAAAATCCTTGAGGAAAAAGAGATCATAACAATGCCTACACATACACACAGTGTTGTTGAAGAGGATAAATAAAACATTCTGTTTTGTTTCATGCCAACCTCAGCCACTTGAAAATGTGTGCCTTAGGGGAAAGACTATAAAGTCATACTGCAAATATAGGGACCATTCAAATGAATGAGTAGTATTTAAAGATTTTTCAGAAGATAATCAGCTGTAAACACCACATCCATTCAATAAAAAGAGACACAATGGAGACCTTCGCCTTCAATTACTAGAGCCCTTGATGCAAAGTATTAACAGTTTCCTGCCTGATATCTTTTTGTGCAGATAGAGCTTGTTCTGATAAACATCTTGTGCTATATTTGTAACTAAAGGTGGACTGGCCTTCCGGTTCCTCTTCTCTGAATGCCACAAAATATTAAAGCAGGATATGCATAACAGAGCAAAGTTAACATCTCCTCTAATCACTGATACTTCTATATTTACACGCTCGGTACTCTCGAAGAGAGTTACAGAGAGCTGAGAAACTACTGAAAACACATAATGCAAATATCAGTTACGAAAATTTGTTCATCTGCTCTGTTTCAATCTAGTTCCCAAACAAAACATATCACTGGCAGGTACATAAATGGAAATCAATATTTCAAATACAGACATGAATTCCTACATACGTGTCTTTGCAAGTAACATAAATCCCCCATCTCTGTCAACAAAATTTCTTTTTCCCTTTGGAATTAGCACAAGCAAGCATACTTTAAATATTTTATTATCAATTCTAACATTGTTGTAACTCGACTGTACACTATATTCTTTTTATGAAAAATAGTTATTTGAAAGATTTCAGGGATTTAACATTCATGGCCATTTCTGCAGCTGGTGAGTTTTATCCTTGCAATAGCTTAAAGATCGAGACCCCTTTGTTGAGAGTTGTCCAATTTTCTATTGCCCAAAAAGTACTGCCAGAAAAGTGAGCTTAGTTTTCTGTACTGTATTTTCTGCTACTAAGAGTGGAGACCTACAGTCAACACCTGGCACAGCTCCTTGCAAAAGGAGTGGAAGGTTTCAATGTAGTTGGCTTAAAAATTTGAATCTGGCTGTAATAGAAGGCACACAGTTTATTTGAATGCCCACTTGGCATTCTTTAGATACACATTGTATCTTCAAATTATGTTTCTATTAAGCTGCAGTGTTAAGATCACATTGATGGACAAAACTACCACTGGCAAATCCCTAAGACAGGACATACTGACCAGAAGCCTGACAAACACATGTGTAAGCACAGTAGTGTGAAAATGATCATTATTCTTCAGTCCTGCAGGAGTAAGGCAGCAAAGAGCAACCAAGATCTCCCTTAAATGGTAGAAAGAGATTCAGTGATCTTTAGAACATATGTTGCATTTCCCTGTACCATAGAACAGGAATGAAACATATGCAAAGCCTACATTATTCAACATATTATTTCAAGGTGAGAAAATCATCAGTGCATTGATTTTTTTTTTTTTTTCTAGGAACACTTCACAGAAGTAATAAAAAATCAGGAATTTCTTTTACTCCCTGCTAATGAAATTGCCAAGCTCTTGTCTAGTGATGACATCAATGTTCCAGATGAAGAAGCCATATTCCAGGCGTTGATGATGTGGGTGAGGCACGATTTGCAAAACCGGCAACGAGACCTAGGAATGCTTCTTTCTTATATTAGACTGCCTCTACTTCCACCCCAGGTACGAAAGGGAAGGGCTAACAAGGAACTTAACCACCAACCGAAATGCCTGCCTCAAGCAGTATTTAGACAGAGAAAAGAATTATATAAAAAGGTTCTGGTTTTGGCTGGTGTTTTTTGTGGGGATTTTCCTGGATTTTATTTTTTTTTCCCTTTTTTTTTTTTTAATCTGTATAGTAGGTATGTTTATTATTTGTAAAGACAGGTAAAAAAAAAAAAAAATCCCACAATGCCAGTGAAATTACTGGGCTCAGAATTACCTCTTTAAAAATGTCAGTCTAATGGTATTATGAAAGTACAGTGTTTCTTTGCTGGTAGAAACGGTAGAGGTTTTCCTCTAACAGCACAGCAACTCAGATACTGTGCAAAGACATTTATTTAGATTTACCAAACTGCGGGACAGATAAGGCACAATACTTATTTCTTTACTGCCATAAAAAGTAGACAAAAATGAAAGGGTTTAGATTGTTGTTGAGTACTCTGAGCATTGACATTACCTGTCCTTTAAGACTGAAAAAGATGTTCCAGAGATGGACATGCTGTTTCATAAGAAGCTGACATTGTTGCACCTGTTTCACAGAAGAGTCTATACAACTCATCAGAAAAGCTTCTAGTAATACCAAGACTATCAGGACACTACAGCTACTTTACAGATCTCCATGAGTGAAACTGCAAATGTTCAGCTTTGGATAAAGTATCAAAATACTACATACATTTAATTTTAAGTATAGGCCTCATTTAATATATACTAATGTTCACAGAGATGTCCAGTATTACATGCTAGATTTGTGTATACTCATATCAAAAGAAGTTTTGCATTCAGAGGGTGCAGTACTACGTTTGCAATTTTAACCTTTTCTAAAGGTTAAAAGAAATTTCGGATAAAATAAAGCAAAGAGATCATACTTAAAGATTTTTTTTCCCTACCTTTATATTGTTTGGCTTGCATTAAAGCAGCTTCTAGCAAAGCTCGAGTGAGAGGTGAACTGAAAACGGGTGTTTGTAGCTACAAATACTTTAGTCACTATAGTAGATAGAATTTTAGTGATTTAGATATCCAAAAGTGATCACTGTTCATTTCTTAGTTACTAGCAGATCTAGAAAATAGTCCAATGTTTGCAGACGACCTAGAGTGTCAGAAACTTCTTATGGAGGCTATGAAGTATCATCTTCTACCAGAAAGACGGTCCATGATGCAGAGTCCTAGAACTAAGCCTAGAAAATCTACAGTGGGTGCCCTTTATGCTGTAGGAGGCATGGATGCCACCAAAGGTAAGTTCAGATGTTTATTTAATTGTATTACAGACACCTAGAGAACATATGACAATTATTTGAAGATTTCTGTTAGGGAAACAGCAATATAGAGATGAAAATAGGGAAGAAAAAAAAATCACAGAACAGAATCCTATGAGTTAGATGTTCTGTTTTCTTGCAAGAATCGTGTGTTTGTAAATGGCATACATACATCTTGAAGTGTATAGTAAAGAAGTTTGATTGAGACGGTGATTTTAAAATTAAATTTTGGAAGATTTCATGCATATAGTTTGACTTTAAAAATCAGAAGAAAAAAATAATATTCAAAATATTTCAAGACTTGTTTAATGTTGGTTTAGAACCCTATGCTCTATTTTTTTGACAAAAGTTAGAAGACTGGAAAAAAAGTTAAGGAAGAAGAAAATAAAACAAAAAAGCATTACTGAACTATTGAGAACTCTTAGCTAAAGCTTATCAATACTAACTATAACATTTCAGATGGAAAGATTTGCACTTTTTCGTGAATGCAATGGTATGTGCAGCTTTTTTTTCAGGACTTCATACACAGGTTTTTTTTCAGATTTGTAGTTGAAAGTTAAATGTCATAAATATATTCCAGTTTTTATTATTTGATTTTCACAACTGCAATCAGCTTACAGCTTTACACATTACGCTATCCTATTTAGTAGGCAGTATATTAAATCATATTCTACAGGAACCTTAACTTCAAACCCACAGCTTGGAGCCAAAGAACTATAATTAGTTTAAAGTCTAGCGACTTGCTGAACAGTATTACGTTTAGCTGTGAGTTCTCTTTTAATAGAATCACAAAGCTGCTAATCCATTTCATGGTTTGCAAAAAGTTGCTGATGACTGGTTTTTCCTCTATGAGACATCTTGCAGTGCCACCTGACTTTATGCAATCAAATCAAGTACATAATTACACATTCATCACCATCACAACATGAAAACACTCATTCCTAGGACAGTTTAGCAAAACGAGGTCAAACTATAGCAATCACTATAGTTTCATTAGTGACACTGATTAATTAGGAATTATATAAAATGACCAAGAATTCAAGGTAATCTTTAAACTAACTTCTACCCAAATAAGACTGAAATTTTTGAAAAGGTTTTTTTTCAGCAAAGGTTGTGCAAAGAAAGGGCTATTTCAGTCAACATCGGCACTTCCTGTTGGTGCCTCTTTTACTTACTACCTTGGAATAAAGCCAATTGTTTGAACTTTTGCCTTTTGATGGTCAAGAAGAACAGCACTTCCTCTCCTCCCTGCTGTACTCTACAGCTCTGACACCCGCTTTGAGCCTGTGCTGGATTGTAAGATAAAGGAAACAGCACCTAGGAAACTACAATGCCCTGGAAGAACAGCTCTGAGAAGGGAGTAACTACCACCTCTGGCAATAGTAGGCTTTCTGTGATAAAGAAAACTCTCAGGGAACACCAGGTTTGGCTTTGTGCTTATCTCAGGTGGTATATGAAGTCAAATCTCAAATTCAAATGATCAAAAGAAGATCAAAGAGCCACTTTTGGGCTAGTAGTTTGAAAAATGTGAATGTGCGTAAACCACATTAATTTTCAAAACCTGCCTCCAAGTCTCTGTAAAAATTATAGCCTACAGGGTACATATGAACACACTGCATACCTTAACGTATTTTTCCTGTTTTTCAGTCAGTGTTTGAGACACTTCTTTTGAAGCCGAGAACTTTGGGGCACTCACACATTAGCATAGAATAAATGAGAAGGAATTAAAGCAAAGAAGAGCAGATGAACAAAATGGAAAGAACAGTCAAAAAAATCCAGTCGCTCAGAATAGAAGATGACAGGAAAAGGGAAAAAAGTAGAATTTCTTTCTTTAATTGCAGATGGGTCTGGTAGTATCTTTCCCAGTCTATGCAGCTGGAAAAGCATGTAGAGGAGAGAAAAGATACCGTGAGATAAGCTCTTACTTCACAAAATTTATTGCGTATAGCAGATGATCTCTAGCAGATTATACTTGTGAAAACATCTCTAAACCAAATGCTACCTTTCTTTCCTGCTTTGTTTTGCTGTTGTAAATAATTCCTTAGCCACTAACTGCCTATTGCACTGCTCAAACACTACTTCTCCAGTCTTGAATCCTGGTCAAGGAAGAGGCAGGAAACCAGCTCTGTTTTTCTCACCTAGTTGCCTTCAGTTGAGCTGAAGCTGAGCTCCAGAGAGCTGCATGTGCAACTGCCAACTGCCTCTTCTACCTTGCCTGTTACTCAGTCCTTACCCCACCGTGCTAAATCAGCTCTCAAGGGAGCAGTTACGGCTCTGAGTGACTGACAGGACCCTGTGCATGGAAAAGTGTCCAAGTTTGAATGGCAGATAGCTCGGGCCTTGCGAATAGTTGCAGTAAAAACAGTACTAGAATGTTAGGTGACCTGAAAAAATTGACAATACAGCTTACATATTACATCAGACAAGGAGTTATTGCAAGGCAGCTGCAAAGGTGAACGTCAGGGAAGCTGCCTATGGGAAGCAAGTGTGCACTCACACACAACTCAGCCTTCTGCCTGTCTCCGTCATAAAATGGAAAATATCCAAATTATTCATGAAGATGCATGCCCAATTCCTGCCAAGACAGGCAGACACACAGATACATTTTCAGGTTTTGATTTCATAGATTTCATAGATTTCTAGGTTGGAAAAGACCTTAGAGATCATCCAGTCCAACCGTCCCTAATCCCCATTAAACCATATCCTTAAGTAGTTCATCCACCCTTTTCTTAAACACATCCAGGGATGGGGACTCAACCACCTCCCTGGGCAGCCTATTCCAGTGGCTGGAATTCCTGTTCCATCTCACTAATGATTTAAGCACAAACACGGTTAAAGAGTACATAGTTGTGAGCTACCATGTTCATAAGGAATTAAAAAAAAAAACAAACAAAAACCAACCTACAAAAAAACATACTCTCATGGCATTTAAATGAGTAACAGATTTAACTTACCTCTAAAATTTTCAGTATTAAAAAATATGCTGGCATTTAATTCTGTATCTTCTTGCCCCCAGTTTACTCTCAAAATTTGACAATCATATACGCAGGCAATTAATGCACCTTTCTCACTAGGTTCACATTTAGTAACTGAAGTTCTCAGGGAACCACAGTAGAAGTGTGCACACAGTATTTCCATATTTTACAATTTAGTAATGTTTTGGGCTGTATTGACTATTGACTGCTGGGTACTGATCAGTTCATGACATCTCATAATACTTACATTTTTAACAGGTACCACTACAATTGAAAAATACGACCTTAGGACTAACAGTTGGATACAAATCGGTACCATGAATGGCAGACGACTACAGTTTGGAGTTGCAGTAATTGACAACAAGCTCTATATTGTGGGAGGAAGAGATGGGCTGAAAACTTCTAACATTGTTGAATGTTTCAACCCTGTCACCAAAGTTTGGACTGTAATGCCTCCTATGTCAACGCACAGACATGGCCTAGGTAAGAGGTGCTCTTTATAAATACCTTGCATCACATACAAATGAATTTTGATCGACACAAACACCGTCGACACAACTTTTTTAAGCATTTAATAACATGTGGCAATATTTGTAGAATATATTTTTTAAAGACATAGTTGCCATTTCCATAATTTTATGACAGCGATATTTATTAGTATTCATGTAACTTGCACTAATCTTCCAGAGTTAATTTTGCTTTTTGAAAATTCCAAATTATAGGCAACAGTGAAAATAACCAACTCTTCATCCAATTTAGTTGTCAAGAGATACGTTTGTAATGCAATAACAATCTGATTTTCGGGGTTTTTGTAATTATAATTTAAGTTAAGCCCATAGGTACCAAACACCTCTGAAAATCAGACCGGAGAATTACCCATACTGAAGAAAATAAGTACAACTTGACTAATTTTAATGTTGTAATTAAAAAAAAGCTTTACAGAGCTCTGCCATGGCTCATTACCTATGGGTCTTTACTGCACATTAATCCTTAATATTAATCACAGTGAATGAATAAAAGGAATTTGAAACCTAGAATTTATTTCTGAAACTATAAAAAAGTATGGATAAGTTTACAGTTGAGGAGACTGTAAGGGAGGGAATATTATTATTTCTGAATGATTTATATATCACAGTTCTTTTGAAAAAGCTGGCTGCTTTTAAGTTTACAGAAACATATTGCTTGAAACCATTGCTAAGTTTGAACAACACTGAATATTTTTATTTTTATGAATAACAGAAAAAAGATTGATCCATAATTATTCAGCAAAGCTTTGTGGGCCTGTATCAGCTTTTCCACTGCTTGGTGGAGAAAGTATAGTGAAGGGTACTTAACCAGCTAGTCTGTCAAATTTATAAAATCAGGTACTAGTAGATAGCAAAGCGAAAGAAGACAAAATAGATTAAATAATTCTGATGGAAGTCTTTGTAATTACCAACTGCATGGTCATAATTCTGCCCAACAAAGAGGTCAGAGTGGTAAATTTGAGTGCTGAAAGTCAGGCTTCTGTCTGTGCATCAGCCTGGTTTGCAAAGCTGCCTTACACTTACAGCTCCTATTAGCTTCAGCGTCATTTTGGGGAGAGTTAGCACTTTTGAAAAAAATCAGGCCATGTATATTTAGGCCTGAAAAGACAGATTTAGACAACTTTTAAGCAGCCACATTCAAACATTTTGCCTTACCTAACTAAGGCAGCAAACGGCAGCAGCTGCTCCCCAAAGAGGAGGCACCAAAGCCCTTCTCTCCGGAGAAGGATAATGACACAGGATATGTCCACACAGAGCTTTGCAGACAGCCAAGTTCACTCTTCTGTGCCTCAAGGACAACGACACAAGCCAGCTCTTATCCAAAAGTGTGTTCCCCTTACAGGCATTAAAATGTTACGGTATTTAGCTAGTAAGGGCAGCCAGCTACCCACCCACTCAGGCTTCATGCTGGTGGGACTACTGGCTCAGAATATGAGATAGGTGGCTGGTTTGTGCTTATATTTAGTTGATTTTCTGGAAAAGAACAGCGTTGTTTCGCATTTAGGGGCTTCAAATTTGATTCAGAACAAGGTCAACAGAAGTAGAAGAGATAAGTCCAAGAAGAGAACACCAGAGCTAAAGCAGCTTTCCTCTAATCTTTTGGCAAAAGACAATGCTTATTCAGAAAAATATCGTGTATGGAGTATTTTGTTTATCTTCGTTTATTCTGCCAAATGGCAAGGCAGCTTTTAGATAGTTTAATACCATCTGAAATTGCTTATCTGCATGCAGGGAATTAAAATATGAAGTTAATACACCATTGGTCACTGAAATTGTTAGCGGCTGTGATTTGTCCCTAATTCTGTCTTTTAAGGAGTAGCAATGCTTGAAGGACCAATGTATGCTGTTGGTGGCCATGATGGATGGAGTTACCTTAATACTGTAGAAAGATGGGACCCACAAGCGCGGCAGTGGAATTACGTTGCTAGCATGTCAACCCCTAGAAGCACCGTAGGGGTTGCAGCATTAAATAGCAAGTATGTCAACAGGAAAAACTCTCTTTGGTTTTTCATTTGCTTCCTTCCTTGGAAATACAGTTTCTTAAATTTTCTTTTCTATCTTATAGTAATTAATCACCTCAAGAAAACAAAGAGAAAATGTAATGCACAAAAATAAGAAAGAAAAGCTTTTTCCC